CTTGTTTCCTTGAAAATCATCACGCCCGTCCTTGGCTTAATAATTCTTTGTTTCTAACTCTGATCAGTTCTGTTCCTCTGGCGCATGCTCATATCTGAGGCAAATGAGACTTTATCAGCAGAAAGCCCCTCAAGGAACACTCTCCTGGAAACCAATAGGACGGAACCGCTCGCAGTTCGGCACTCCAGTCTCCTGGACTCTTGAGTGACCAAATACAGTTTTTGGCCTTGAAAGCTCTTTTAAATGGTCTCTTCCAAAAGACTGGGTCATGGGATGTATGACAGTAGAAAAACTGCAACATTTCAGATGTCACCTGTGAAGGTGAAATGGGAACTGGCTGTTTTGGCTGCGCATTCTTATGCATTTACTACTTTGCTCGTTCTGGCACAGCTGTTCTTGAAAAAGAGCAGTTTCTGTCAGAGCTCTCTCAGCCCCACCTACCTCACAGGGTGTCTGTTGTGGGGAGGGGGAGGGAAAAGAGTTTGTAGGCCGGTCTGAGACTCCTTTGGGTAGTGAAGGGCGGGGTATAAATCCAATCTTTTCTTCTTCTTTTACCTCACAGGGTGTCTGTTGTGAGGAGGGGAAGGGAAAGGAGTTTGCGAGCCACTCTGAGATTCCTTTGGGAAGTGAAGGGCAGGGTATAAATCCAAACTCTTCTTCTTCTTCTTGTAGAATTCTTGAAAGTCGCACAGTAGCAAGTGGTGTGGTGGTGAATCCTCTCTAAAATGCCTATGCAGCCCAGAAAGGGCCCTGCCCTCCCCCTGCCTTGTACTGACAGAAACCAAGGCTTGAAAGCTGGTAACTTCTGTTGTGGTTGCCTAGCCATTGAGAGGACATTTGTTTCTTAAAGCTACAAGTGCTGCTTTTATTATTGGGGGGGGGGGTAATCGCAGATGGCGCAGCAGCGCCAGAGCGGAAAGTCGCCCATAAGGCCGTGACCCCTCCCAGCAGTCAGGCCCAGAGTCAGGATTTTTTAAGTCGGGGCAGTGTTCCCTCTAAGCTGAGTTTGTATGAGCTAGCTCACAGTTTTTTAGCCTCCGCCTCACACATTTTTACCTTAGCTCAGGAAGGGATGGCTCCAGAGCAAACGAATCTATGCAGCAGCCAAACGGCTCACTCGCAACTTTAGTGCCAGTCGCTCAGCAAGTAGAATGTTTGCTCACAAGACTCCACAGCTTAGAGGGAGCATTTGTCAGGGGGCATTTAAATTTCTTAGGGGGTCACTGGCTAATTGAATTAAAAGAATACCCAGTTCCTCCCCTGCTCCTGAAGAAGAAGAGATTGGATTTATACCCCGCCCTTCACTACCCAAATGAGTCTCAGAGCAGCTTACAAACTCCTTTCCCTTCCCCTCCCCACCACAGACACCCTGTGAGGTGGGTGGGGCTGAGAGAGCTCTTCACAGAGACTGCTCTTTTTCAAGAGCAACTGTGCCAGAACTATGGCTTGCCCAAGGTCATCCAGCCAGGTGCAAGTGGAGGAGTGGGGAATCAAACCCAGTTCTCCCAGATTAGAGTCCGCGCACTTAACCACTACACCAAACTGCCGTCGCTCGGGGGACCTAGGCTGGACAGGAAGTCAGGGGGCCTTACCAGTAAGTCAGGGGGGCTAGCCCCGAGATGCCCCCTGTAGCCACAGGCCTGCCAGCAGTGCTCATTTAGGGAAGGTGTGGCAGCTGGGGAAAGGCGGGGAAAGAGAACCACTGTTCAGCCATGAGTTAGCCATCCTAGCTGTAAAGGGCATTTGGTTTCTTTATTGTGCTGTTTGCTTTTATCACTATTGTTGTTGCGATGATGAGTCAAAGCACAGATGCATTAGGAACAAGAGTGCTTTCCCGTGGACCGGGCTGTAGTCTTCTTTTTTTCTGTGCAATTTTTTATTTTAGAAAGAACAAACACAACACAAACAAACATACATACATTGGGGGTTTCCATTACATCATTAACTTGTCTATCTGAATACCTCATACAATATTGAGAGCCAGTTTGGTGTCGTGGTTAAGTGCGCGGACTTTAATCTGGGAGAACCGGGTTTGATTCCCCACTCCTCCACTTGTACCTGGCTGGATGACCTTGGGCAAGCCGTAGTTCTGATAAGAGCTGTCCTTGAAAAAGAGCAGTTTCTGTCAAGAGCTCTCTCAGCCCCACCTACCTCACAGGGTGTCTGTTGTGGGGAGGGGAAGGGGAAGGAGTTTGTAAGCCACTCTGAGACACCTTTGGGTAGTGAAGGGCAGGGTATAAATCCAAACTCTTCTTCTTCCTCCTCCTCTATTTGGTTATGTGTTTTCTATATTCCACCTTGTATTTTTGTGTAAGTCTTTTGCCGCTGGGCCGTAGTCTAATGGGACAGAAGGAAGGGTGTCCTCTTAACCAGCTCTGAAGTACAATGGCTGCAACAGCTTTCCATGGCGCTGGTTCCCAAAAGAGATTTGTCCCTCTTCCCATACCGTAGGTAAGCCAGCAACTGTGCCTCTTCTTCAGGGAGTGCCAGCAGGGAAATGGAGCAGCGGTGCAGGAAGCCCTTGCCCGGCTGGCCCAGAAGCAGCAGGAGGCCAGGACGGCAGCCGCGAAAGCCGTGGCAGCTGAAGAAAGCAGCAGCGAGGAAGAAGAGGAGACGGAAGAAGAGGTATGGTTCTCTTTGGAGACTGGGTGGGAGTTGGACGTCAGGCGGCCCAGCGCTGCAAAGAGTTCTCCTGTTCGGTTGGAGGGAGGGGCAGAAACGAGGAAATGCTACATTCAGTACCACAGGAACACTAGCGCTATGTCAAAAATTAACTGTGCAGGCCTCGCAGTGCAGTAGAACCCCTGAACAGTGCCTTTTGCATATACCACGTATGCTTCTCAGATGACAAGAGCTTGAAAAGAGCATTGCTGGGTTAAAGGTAAAGGTTTCCCTTGCTCGAAAGCCAGTCGAATCCAACTCTAGGGGGCAGTGCTCATCTCCATTTCCAAGGTGAAGAGCCGGCGCTGTCCGAAGACGTTTCCGTGGTCATGTGGCCGGCATGACTCGACGCCGAGGCACACAGAATGCTGTTACCTTCCCACCGAAGCAGTACCTGTTTATCTACTTGCAATTTCTTGCTTTTGAACTGCTAGGTTGGCAGGAGCCGGGGCCAGAGACGGGAGCTCACTCCGTCATGCGGCACTCGGGTCTTGAACTGCTGAACAACCGACCGTCCGGTCTGCAGCTCAGCGTCTTAACCTCTGAGCCATTTTTAACATCGAAGTAGTGCTGGGCTGCAGAGGGAAAGGAAGGGTTTTAACATCGAAGTAGTGCTGGGCTGCAGAGGGAAAGGAACGGGGTGGTAGCAGTTCCTCGGGCTTGCTCAGGAGCAATGTTTCTTCTGAGTTGTGGAGTCTTGTGAGCAAATACTCTGTGAGCGACTGGCATTAAAGTTGTGAGCGAGCGATTTGGCTGCTGCATAAATGAGCTTGCTCTGGAGCCCTCCTTCCTGAGCTAAGGCAAGAATGTGTGAGCCAGAGGCTAAGAAACTGTGAGCTAGCTCGCACTCACTCAGCTTAGAGGGAACACTGCTCAGGAGGCCCATCTTTTAGGGAAGGTCAGCACCGTAGGCATTCCCATTTGCAGCCGCCGGGGGGGGGGCCTGACCCCCTCCTGCTGGTGGCAGCTCTGTCCTAATGAAGGAGTGTGGATCCTCCCGCCAAGCAATGCTCCCTCTAAGCTGTGGAGTCTTGTGAGCAAAAATTCTACTTTCTGAGCTACTGGCATTAAAGTGGTGAGCGAGCGATACGGCTACTGCATAAATTTGTCTGCTCTGGAGCCATCCTTCCTGACCTAAGAGAAAAATGTGTGAGCCGGAGACTAAAAAACTGTGAGCTAGTTCACACTAACTCAGCTTAGAGGAAACACTGGTCTTAACCTCTGAACCACTGGCTTTACTACTGAGCAATAATGCAGGGTGCATCTTTAGAGCAGTGCTGTGTTACTCACTGGGAGGGCTGCAAAAAGGCACCCAAGGTGGGGGGAAAGAGATGGGCCATGTGCATGTCCTGTCTGAAAGGAGTAATCCCAGAGATGATAGCTCAACCCTGATTGCCTGTGGATCGTGATAGTTGCAGCTGAAGTCTAGGTCTTGATGCCCTGTTTGTTTGTTAGATTTATCTCCTGTCCTCCCCGCCCGGGCAGGCTCAGGGCGACTAAACAAGGCCATGGGTATTATAAACAATAAAACTGTATAATAATTTAACAATTTAAAATCAACAGATCATTTAAAATACAACTCACACAAGACAGCGGAACTGTCTTAACAGTTTTAATTAGCATCTTGTTGGTCTTGGGCCCAGTAAGAGCAGCTAGGAACAACTGTTGTAAAAATACTGAAATCTGCTCCACCAGTTAGACTAAGTTCACTTTGCCACGTTAGACTAGAGGTGCAGAACCGAAAGCATTGAAGATGGCTATTACTGGTCCAGGGGAAGTGCCGTCAAGTCGCTTCCAACTTAGGGTGACCCTGTGAATTAATGTCCTCTAAAAAGTCCTGTTCTTAACAGCCATTCTCAGGTCTTGCAAATTGAGGTTCCGATGCTTATTTAAATTGTCGACTGTCATTGACACTTCCGCATCTAGTGGTCGTGAGTTTCACAGCCTTGGATCACGAATCCATTCTGCTTCTCTTAAACCTGGTATTTATCATTCACTCGCCATAAGTCCTGTTTGGAAGGAGAGAATAAAGTTGCCCCCAGTTTCACGCTCTGAGCTCCGCTCATTGTTTCGGACGCCTCTGCTGTTACTCCAGTCATACTGCCTTTCCTCTAAGTTAAGTTGTGGGGCAAGTGCCAAGTAGAGCAGGGAGGCAGGGTTCTGCGTGTGTAGAGCAGGAGGGGCTCGTTTTCGGGGATGACAAACCAGCTCTTGTTCCAGGCCTTCCCTCCTTTCTCCAGGAGGGGTAGCAGATACGGTAGAAGACAGAGTCAGGATGCGGGATGATTTTGACAGGCTGGAAAACTGGGCTTAACGAAATTTAATGAATTTCAATGGGGATAGATGCAAAGTTCTGCATTTAGGTAGGAAAAATCAAATGCATAATTATAGGTTGGGGGAGATCTAGGGGTCTTAGTAGACCATACACTAAACATGAGTCAGCAGTGTGATGTGGTTGCTAAAAAGGCAAATGTGATTTTGGGCTGTATCAACAGAAGTATAGTGCCCAGATCACAAGATGTGATGGTACCACTTTACTGTGCTCTGGTTAGACTTCACCTAGACTATTGTGTTCAGTTTTGGGCACCACAGTTTGAGAAGGATCTAGACAAGCTGGAACGTGTCCAGGCCCGTCGTAAGTCACAGTCAGGCAGCCTGCACAGGCACATGCGCCATGCCTGGGCTATCATGCCACATCCTGAAGGGCAAACAGAAGCATACTCAGTCCCTGGCGCCTCCAGTTAAAAGGACCAGATGGCAGGTGATACGAAAGACCTCCATCTGAGACTTGGCTGAGCCCCTGCCAGTCTGGGTAGGCAAGATAGACCGTGATAGACCAATGGTCTGATACAGCAGAAGGCAGCTTCATATTGTTCATGGCGTTTCTGCTCTTCTTTATGGTAGGAGTCAGTTTGGCATAGTGGTTAAGTGCGTGGACTCTAATCTGGGAGAACCGGGTTTGATTCCCCACTCCACTCGCAGCTGCTGGGTGACCTTGGGCAAGCCATAGTTCTGGCACAGCTGTTCTTTGAAAATCACCTACCTCACAGGGTGTCTGTTGTGGGGAGGAGAGGGGAAAGGAGTTTGAAAGCTGCTCTAAGACTTCTCTTCCTCTCTTCTTCTAGTCCGGGCAGTTCTGCGTGGCTGCTGTGGGCTGGGGGTATTCTGCAATTCACATAAGTATCAAAAAACTACCATAGAATTCAGCTTCCGGAGGATTTCATTCAATAAAGGAAAAAGCAAGTGTCGAGCCCTTATGGCTGCCAAAGATGTGCAATAAATAAAACTATGTAAATACATAATCAGAAGCTATGCCAGACAGTAAAAATTTCAGACTCAATGATGCAACCTTGAATAACGTATACGGGTTCCAGACTTTGATGTACCTTTGGTGCACAATTTATGTATGACATCATAAAATCACAGAGTAGAGGCGGCTCTGCTTATATCAAGATCAGAAAATAATTGCCACACCAAAGATACGAGTAGCCCGACACCAATGCTCCCTCTGAGCAAAAATTCTACTTTGTGAGCTCCTGGCATTCAAGTTGTGAGAGAACAATTTGGCTACTGCCTAAATTAGGTTGCTCTCGAACCCTCTTTCCTGAACGAAGATAAAAATGTGTGAGCCGGAGGCTAAAAAGCTGTGAGCTAACTCACACTGACTCAGCTTAGAGGGAACACTGCCCTGCTTCCTGCTGTGGCCAGACTGTTATTGGAAACACAGACTCCAATCTAGTCTGTGGATCACTGAGCAGCCAGTTCCCACAACATACTAACAGGCTGCATAGGAGATCACAATGATGCACATGGACAGACATCACAAAGACCGCATGAGAAGCAGAAAAAATGGAAAGGGTGAGGCCGTGCCCCCTCCCAGCAATTTCCTTCTCCTTGACTTTCAGTCCCTTGTTCTCTCTGCTGTTCAGGGGGCGATGCCTACAGGGGCAGACATCTGCAGGGTCTACACATCCTGGAAAATCTACGGCAACTAATGAGCTCCGGTCGTGAAAGTCTTCGACAACATGTTGTCTATATTGCTTAAAGCTCTTGTAAAGAATTTGGCTTCTGGCCTAAAGCAGCATTTGGGCTCAGGTACAAACCAAAACAGTCTACTATGCTCCCAGTGGATAAACGCCTATCCAGTGCTCCCTCTAAGCTGTGGAGTCTTGTGAGCAAAAATTCTACCTTGTGAGCTACTGGCATTAAAGTTGTGAGCGAGCGGTTTGGCCGCTGCATAAATTAGTTTGCTCTGGAGCCATCCTGCCTGAGCTAAGACAAAAATGTGTGAGCCAGAGGCCAAAAAACTGTGAGCTAGCTCACACTAACTCAGCTTAGAGGGAAGACAGCCCAACACCCTGCTTCCTGCTGTGGCCAGCCTGTTATGGGAAACACACAGTCTCCAAGCTAGTCTGTGGATCACTGAGCAGCCAGTTCCCACAACATACTAACAGGGTGCATAGGAGATCACGATGATGCACATGGACAGACATCCCAAAGACCGCATGAGAAGCAGAAGAAATTGAAAGGATGAGGCCGTGCCCTCTCCCAACTCTTTCCTTCTCCTTGACTTTCAGCCCCTTGTTCTCTCTGCTGTTCAGGGGGCAGTGCCTACAGGGGCAGACATCTGCAGGGTCCTCGTACCCCCGGATGTATTTATCTACAAAATGTGCATCCCACCGTTCTGCCCTTACAAGTTCCTCCAAGGCAGCTAACAATTTAAAGCAGACATGATGAAATTGCATTATAAAACCATGAAAATAACCCCCCCTCCCAAACGTACCTCATTAAAAGCAACTTTAAAAAAGAGTTTATTTATATAAACAAGATACATACAAACATAAAACGTTGGTTAGGAAGGAAGGATCGTGGAGGGAATGCTGAACGAAACAAAAAAAGGCATCGCCCGTTGGGAAAGACAGCAACAGAAGGGGAGCGTCATGGGTCCTGGTTCAACCGAGGCTAATTTCCTCAGATGAGGAAGAAGAAGAAGAAGAAGATAAGAGATTGGATTTATACCCCGCCCTTCACTACCCGAAGGAGTCTCAGAGCGGCTTACGATCTCCTTCCCCTCCCCACAACAGACACCCTGTGAGGTAAAAGAAGAAGAAGAGATTGGATTTATACCCCGCCCTTCACTACCCGAAGGAGTCTCAGAGCGGCTTACAGACTCCTTTCCCTTCCCCTCCCCACCACAGACACCCTGCGAGGTAAAAGAAAAAGAAGAATTTGGATTTATACCCCGCCCTTCACTACCAAAGGAGTCTCAGAGGGGCTTACAAACTCCTTTCCCTTCCCCTCCCCACAACAGACACCCTGTGAGGTAAAAGAAGAAGAAGAAGAGATTGGATTTATACCCCGCCCTTCACTACCCAAAGGAGTCTCAGAGGGGCTTACAAACTCCTTTCCCTTCCCCTCCCCACAACAGACACCCTGTGAGGTAGGTGGGGCTGAGAGAGCTCTTGACAGAAACTGCTCTTTTTCAAGGACTGCTCTTATCAGAACTACGGCTTGCCCAAGGTCATCCAGCCAGGTGCAAGTGGAAAAGTGGAGGAATCAAACCCGGTTCTCCCAGATTAGAGTCCGCGCACTTAACCACTACACCAAATTGGCTCTCATCCCACCTTTTCTGGGAAGAGGCACAGAGCGACCCAGCCTCCTCTGGAGTCAGCCCCGAAGAGGAACCTTTGCCAGCACCTGAGGAAGGAGAGGCTCCAGTATCTGAGGTGCAGCAAGGCGAAGAGCCTGAGGTGCAGTCGGAGGAAGAGCCTGGCCCAGCACCCCCAGCTGGAGACACCCGGAAGCCAGAGTCCCCACCTAGCTCACCTGAATGTCCCAGAGGCAGGGCACGCCCGCATCTGAATATGCAGGAGAGAGGGAGGAGTGCCAGACTTCAGCTGTTGCCAAGGCAACATGAGGGGCTGTGAGTCTTTGCGAGTCGCCTCCCAGGGAAGGGAGGATCGGCGTATAAGCAACCCTGCTCACCTGACTCGGTGCGGATGCAGCCATGCGATCTCGGACCTTGTCCCAGCTGCCAGCCTCCGCTCTCTGCTCCTGGAAACTCTGACTGACTTCCCGGCATTCTGACTGTTTCTCGGCTTGCATTTGGACTGTGTATCTAGCTTCAGTGAAGTGTATCCGAGGTGACCAGCCGGAACCAGCACAGGGACAGACAAATGTCCCTAGAGAGAGAGTTCCAGAGCTTGGGTGCCGTGACTGAGAAGACTCTCTCCTCGGTTGTCACCACCCACCTAATCTCAGGTGAGGACACCTGAAGCAGGGCCCCAGAAGATGACCATAACAGTTGGGCAGGGTATGTATACTTTTCTGCAGTTCACCTGTGTGATCTGCCTAATGCCACAGGTATATTGCACCACTAGATGCACAGCTATAGCTCATGATCTGGGCTGTGCAACTAGAGGCCTAGTAGGCCCAGGGAGCCTGAGTAGCAGTGGGAGGAGGCCTGGCCTCCATCTCCCAGAAGCCCCTGAGAGGTTTTGGCACCAATTTTAGCCAATCACGGAGAAAGGGGACTTATAATAAAAGAGTTGGTACAGAAAAGGAGCTGTTCTTTCTTCCAAGAGGGCAGAGCCAGAAGGAAGGCTGCTGCAGGGGAGAGACCCTCGTCCTGAGAGGAAGGATGAGCAGACTGAGGCCCACTTGAGACCGTGAGCTAGGGCCAATACATTTAGATGCTTTAGGGCCTTTGGTTTCTTTTCACCCCTTACTGATATTGTTCTTGCTCTGCCTGGTCCTCACGCTTATTTCGGCCAAACAAGGGAGGTCTGAAGGTCTTGGGAGGGTGCTCTGGGCCTTCTCAAGGGATCCTAAAACCAGAGTGGTGGCAGCGGCAGGTGACACCCCACCTGAGCCGTGACAGCTCCCGATGGTAAAATCTATACTGTCAGGCCGAGTGCTGGCACACAAAATCAGCACCTACGGACTTAGAAGCAGATATAGCACAAGGTCATCCCAAGCTAGCATTTGTGGCTGCAAAGGTAGGCTGTCGTACAGCCCCACTCCCTATCAGAGCAGCAGAAGGCATGCCTGCAGGGGTCACTTCCTGCAGGAGCGCACAGGAGCGGAGCTCCGGCAGTAAAGAGCCCAGGGGGCGGGCACATGCAACAAACCCCACCCCCTGCTCCCAGCAGCCCTCAGTCAGAGCAAGAAGCAGCCAGGTAACTTGCAGCTCTCCGGTCCAAAACAGTCCAGTGGCACCTTTAACCAAGTTTTATTCAGGTACAAGCTCTCCCTCCTCTGCAAGGACAGATCTGCACGTTCCCCCCCTCCCAATAGCTAGCAATCCAAAACAGTCCAGTGGAGCCTGAGCGTTGGGTGTTGCCTTCTGACACACTTCCGGTGATGTCAGCGGTATGTGGCATATGCAAATAATTTATGCTAATGTGTTATGCTAATGAGCTCCTGCACCTCTTTTTCTACTAAATGACCCCTGCATGCCTGCAAGCATAGTCTGCAACACCCTGTCACGTCCATTTACTGCGTCTTCCTCGTCTTCACCTAGCTCGTGCATCTGCAGTAATGTGTGCATTCTTTCCTAAAGAATGTTAAGAGACAAAGATTCATGCAGTCTGACTCCACTTAGTAGAAAGCCAGTAAAGTGTCGTCCAGGGGCGGCCAGACTTGCTTAACATAAGAGCCACATGCAATGAATGTCAGACATTTGAGCGCCGCAAGACATGAAGAAACATCACCCACCTGTTTTTATTGAAAAATACGCAGATTTGCTTTTTTTATTAACATTAAATGAGGCTGCCGAAAATAAAAAACAGGAGGAGTAAAAACAGACACTGATAATGATATTTATTTGTCCAATGATATTTGTAGGCTTGATGGGGGGTGCTTTGAGAACGCATTTAAATTTGCCTTCTTTCTCTGCTCCCCCCTTGCCTCAGGCCTACCCGTGGGGGGGAACACTAGCTGGGGAAGGGAAGACTGATCGGGGAGGCGTGCCTCCCCTTCACTTCCCCAGCTGCCCCGCCGGGAGCCACACAATATGTGTCAAAGAGCCGCATGTGGCTCCCGAGCCACAGTTTGGCCACCCCTGGTGTAGTTTGTCCAAAATCTGATACAGACCCAGCTGCCAGTTCCCAGTTGGCTGTGATGCCCGCTGCGTGATCTTTCAACAATCCTCTTTCCTCCACCCTGCTTAACATCACAAGCATGCAAAATACACGCACACTGTGATGTGAGCTTTGACCCATGAAAGCTTAATGGCAGCGAAAAATAAAATTAGTCCTTACTGTGCTACATGGCATTTGATGTCTTCCACTGCAAAACAATATTGAGAGGATTAAGCGGCGTGAGGAAAAATCCAGGTAAGCCACCCTGAACATTTTGGGGAAACGGTGAGAGCGAGAAATCATTAATGCGTACAAATATCCCCAGAATTGGTACCCACTGATGTTAATTGGTATGACATTTTACATAGGAGGATGAGATTGGATTTATACCCCGCCCTTCACTACCCGAGGGAGTCTCAGAGCGGCTTACAAACTCCTTTCCCTTCCCCTCCCTACCACAGACATCCCGTGAGGTAGGTGGGGCTGAGAGAGCTCTGACAAATGGCTCTTTTTTCAAAAACAGCTGTGCCAGAACTGTGGTTCACCCAAGGTCATCCAGCAGGTACAAGTGGAGGAGTGGGGAATCAAACCCAGTTTCCCCAGATTAGAGTCCGCGCACTTAACCCACTACACCAAATACATAGCACCTGTATTTTTAAGACAACGAACACCAATAACTCCAGCAATTTAAAAATTCTAAGACTCCTACCAGTAGCTGCCTTACCCCAATTCTCAATATTTCAAGTCAGGAAGTGGGGTGGGGGGTGGCCTACAGTGGAAGTAGCAAGGCCGGGGGGGCAGTGTTCCCTCTAAGCTGTTAGTGTGAGCTAGCTTACAGCTTTTCAGCCTCCTGCTCACCCACTTTTGTCTCAGCTCAGGAAGGAGGGCTCCGGAGCAAACTAATTTATGCAGCA